GGAGGAGAAGGGATTGCGGCGTGACCATCCCCCCTGGGGGGTGATTTCTTGCTTTCTGTCTCTCTGTCTCTCTCTGTCTGTCTGGCGAGCGCACACGCCCTATAGCGAAAACCTCTCAAAAAAAAACCCCAAAAAACAAGTATTATGTACATAAAAGAAAATCCATCCATTTTAAGTATTGATGAATTTTGGGGGTTGCATGCCATCATGGCAACACCTCCGTCACGGAAACACAGGGCAGCCCCCGCCACCCCGGCCTCACCCTTGCCCCTGTGCAAGACGCGCTCCCCCCCCAGTGCCCGGAGCTGCGTGTGAGCGCGTGGCCGCCTTGACTGGCACTGGCCATTTGGGATCCACTCGTGCTGGTGCTGGGTCTCGTGGTGGCTCATCCCCCTCTCTCCCTGAGCTGTCCTCGTCCTCATCCTCATCCTCATCCTCACCGTGAGCGCACACGCACATGCCCCTAGGGTGAGTTTAAGCTACCGGGTCTGGGACTCGAACTACAGTCGACCACAATGTAGCCATTACGCTAACTGCTGGTCCCATCTATTTTCAGTCTTTCTAACACGTACCAAGGTAGCTGGTAGCACTAGACCTTTAAGGCTCAACTCATGGGGGCCAGCAGGTGGCAGGGTGCTTAAGGCACTGGATTCCCACATGGCCGACCATGGTTTTAATCTTGGACCTGGAGGCCTGAAAATCATGCTGGGTGCTTGTGCATACCTCAAAATCCTAAGAGGAGAATGGAGGAGAAGGGACCACAGCATGACTGTCCCCCCAGGGGGTGATTTCTTGCTTCTGTCTCTCTGGGAGCACATGTGCCCTATGGCAAAAATCTCTCTTCCCCCCTGTAAAAGAAAAGATTCAATTCATGATACTGTGTGCATCTTACTTATTGCCTTTTTTCTTTCTTAATTATTTATTTAATTTTATTTGTCATCATTATTATTTCTTAATTTGCTACATGTGCTCACCAGAGACGGAGAGAGAAAGCGGGAAAGTGAGCCACCAGGCCTGGGACTCAAACCGCAGCTGGCCCTGTGGGTCCAGTGCCTGCACTACTGCCACCTGCTGCCCCGTCTTTCTGCTGGAATGTGTGGGCTCCCCAGCGACAGATGGCGAGGGAGCAAGCATCCCCCGATGGGGCGTGGCACCCCGCTCCCTTCTGCATTCTCCTCCAGGGATTGTGGGTGCAGGCGGTACATGCAGCTTTCCTGACCATCTACCACGCGCTCCCTCCCCACCCCCACATTCCCTGTCCTTTGTCCCTGCTTGGCTTTCTGTCACAGCGTCTGTCACCACCCACAGCCCGTTTCTGCACTCTGCTAGGCTGTCTACCCCAGAAGACAGGGGCC